TACAGGTGGAAAGATGTTTAGATGAATACTATGAACAGTTTGGTGCCTTTATCTAAAGAAAGATGTACTGTGATTGGAGACAGTCCAGAGAAGGTTCACTAGATTGATCCTGGGTATAGAGAAATTTTCTTCTGAGAAGACATTGAGCAAGTTAGGCTTGTACTCATTGGAGCTGAGGAGAATGAGAAGAGACCTAATTGAAACATAAGATTCTTAGGAACTTTGCCAGAGTAAATGTGGAGAGGGTATTTCCCCTTGTAGGAGAGTCTAGAACCAAGGGGCATAATCTGAGTCACAGGTCACCCATTTAAGGTGAGGAGGAATGTTTTCTCTCTGAGCATAGAGAACTTGTGGAATTCTTTACTTGAGAGGACTGTCGAGGCTAAGCCATTGTGTATATTCAAGACTGAGATTTTTAATCAATAATGGAATCAAGATGGAGGGGGAGAAAAGGCAGGAAAGTGAAGTTGAGGGCTCAGCCTGTGATCTTGTTGAAAAATGGAGCAGAAGACTAGGGCATGTATTTTTAAGGTGAGAGGAGAAAGATTTAAAAAAGACATAATTTTTTTTGACCCAGAGTGGTTCGTATGCGGAATGAACTTTGAATACAGTTACAATGTTTAAAAGACATTTGGATAAGTACATAAATAAGAAATGCTTGGAGAGATATGAGCCAAGCACAGGCAGGTGTTATCATGGACTCGTTGGAGCATAGGGTCTGTTTCTGTGCTGTATGACCTACTTTGTGCCTATGTCTTATCATGTACCCCCATACCCTTTGACCCCTTGTCAATGAAGAGTCTGCGCAACTTGGACCAAAAAATTTTTAATAATTTGCATCCACTAACGTCTGTAAAGAAAATTCTACTGATTAATAGCCCCTTGTGAGAAAAGAAATTCTGTTCATCTTCCCCTAAATCCAAAACAATTTATTTTTTAACTTAGATCTAATCTCCAAGGGAAACATCCTCTCAGCATCCACCCTGTCAATCCCTTCAGGATCTTGATTTCAATAAGATGGAAAGATCTCGTTGAGATCTCATTCAATCACAGATACAGCCGTACCAGAATTTTTCCAGCATTTCCTGTTTTTTTTTTGTGCAAGTCTTGTCTCTGACACAACTCCAATCTTTTATTAAAGGTGGTGAAAATAATTGAATGAGTGGTCAAGAGTAAATTTGGATTATCTGCATTTTAATCAGTTTTGCAGCATCAACTAAAATGGAGTTAGATAAGGGAAATAATCTTTTTTTGTAACTTCCTGGCAGGTCTATAGAAAGTCCAATAACTTGTACTTTGGCATTTAAAACACATTTGATAAATTTGCCATGAAAGGCTAATTAAGCTAAATGATTGGAGATTCAAGTTAAAACTTTGGAACAAGTAATAAATTGGCCATAGGCTAAAAAAAGAGTGTTGGACTGCAGAGAAGTGCTGAGTGAGGTATTTCATCAATGTGTTTGGAAACCATATTATTTCTGATTTACAATACAATTACATTCAGAGATTCAAAGTAAACATGTAAACTCAAACGTAGTACCAAACTAGATGATGCGATTGAAACGGAGAGGGCAATTTAAGATCTAAAAAATGAGTTCAAGTATGTTAAATTGCAAGATTAGTAATTAGTTAACATGTACTACACGTTAGAGTTAAAAATAGATGTTGCAGTTTATTTCATGATTGGTATCAAGATTACAAAAGGAAAAGTTGAAAATTATTTATGAATTTTAATAAGCTCATTTTTAACATGTCCAATCACTTGGAAGCACCAGTCAATGTGGCAAATGCATTGTTGCACCATATAGATAACATAGTAGAAACTACCTTCAAAAAAGTATAATTCTCAGATATCAAAATAATAGACTGGTGGTTTAATTTCAAGAGGAAAAAAAAAACACTGTTCAATCCCAGTATGTTTAGAAGATTTCCATAGGTAAATTTCATATTAAGTTAAACATCAATGCTGAGAACTGGTTGGTCTAGTTTTCTTAGATTCATATGAGCCTTTGAGCATTAAAAATTGATTTGAGACTGGTCAAAGTCATATCACGCAAGGCCTTCTGAACTGACAAGGAAGTCTTTGCCATGATGATATAGTAGAGGGGAGGCGCGGCCTCGTGGTATTAGCACGAGACCGTTAATCCAAAACCTAGTAACGTACTGAGGGCCCGGGTTCACATCCTGCCAAGGCAGAAGGTGGAATTTGAATTCAATAAAAAAAGGTTTGCAATTAAGAGTCTAATGATGACCATGAAACCATTGTGGATTGTTGGAAAAACCCATCTATTTCAGTAAAATCCTTTAGGGAAGGAAACTGCCATCCTCAATTGGTCTGGCCTACATGTGACTCCAGTCCCACAGCAATGAATCTTCTTAAACTGATTCTTAACTGCCCTCTCGTCAATAATTGCCCGCATCCTGTAATTGAATTAAAAAAAAACCTGACATGGATAGATGCAGATCTGAAAGAATGTTAGTAGGTGATGCAGTGTATTCCTCAGATTTGCCAGCATTGGTTTCTCAGATCCACTTCTAGTGATGCCATTCGGCAGAAATGTATCACTTATGTAATCAACAACTTGGTTTTTAAATGGAATAACTGAATTGCTGTTAATCCCATTTGCATGATACTAGGTCATACTTGTCATAGTTTTCTGTGATGAGTCACTGATTTTATTTTATACATTTATGGGACGCGGGTGTCGCTGGCTGACATCACTAGTTGCTCTTGAGAAGATGGTGGTGAACCTTCTTGAACTGAAGTCCATATAGTGTAGGTTGATCCACAAAGCCCTTAGGGAGCGCATGCCAGCATTGTGACCCAGCGACAGTGAAGAAACAGCGGTATATTTCCACGTCAGGATGGTGAATGACTTGGAGGGAAGTTTGCAGGTGATGATGTTCCCATATATCTGCTGCCCTTGTCCTTCCAGATCAAAGTGGTTGTGGGTTTGGAAGGTGCTGTCTAAGGAACTTTGGTAAATTTCTGTAGTACATCTTGTAGATAGTACACGCTGCTACAGCTACTGAGCATTTCTGGTGGAGGGAGGGACTCCCTTTGGATGTGGTGCCAATCAGACGGGCTGCTTTGTCCTGTATGGTGTCAAGATTCTTGAGTGTTGTTGGAGCTGCACCAGTCCAGGCAAGTGGGGAATATTCCATCATACTCCTGGCTTGTGCCTTGTCTTGGACAGACTTTGGGTATTCCTAGCGTCTGATCTGTTCTTGTAGCCATTATGTTTGTGGTGAGTCCTGTTGGCTTTCTTTTCAATGAGAACGCCGCCCCCCGCCCCCCCTCAGAACATTGTTAGTGAGGGATTCAGTGATAGTGATTGGAGATGGTCATTTTCTGGCATTTGTGTGGCGTGACTGTTACTTGCCACTTGTCACCCCAAGCCTGGATATTGTCCAGATCTTGTTGCATTTGAACGTGGACTAACTCAGTATCTGAGGAGTCATAAAAACGCTGAACATTGTGCAATCATTGGCAAACATCCCCACTTCTGACCCTGTGATGGAGGGAAGATCATTGATGAAGCAGCAGAAGAAGATGATTGAGCCTAGGACACTACCCTGACCAAGACTTGCAGAGATGCCCTGGAGCTGAAATGACTGACTGACCTCCAACAATCACAGCCATTTTCCTATATGCCAAGTATGACTGCAATCAGCAGACAGTTTGCCCCGAATACCCATTGATTCCAGTTTTGCTAGGGCTTCTTGATGCCACGCTTGGTCAAATATGTCCTTGATGTCAAGTGCTGTCACTCTTATCTCACCTCTGAAATTCAGCTCTTTGGTCCATGTTTGAACCAAGGCTGTAATGAGGTCAGGAGCTGAGTGGCCCTGGCAGAACCCAAACTGGGCATCACTGAGCAAGTTATTGTTGAGCAGGTGCTGACTGATAGCACTATTGATAATACCTTCCATCACGACTGATGATCGAAAGTAGACTAATGTGGCGGTAATTGGCCGGGCTGAATTTGTCCTGCTTTTTGCGCACAGGACAAACCCAGGCAATTTTCCCCATTGTCAGATAGATGCCAGTGTTGTAACTGTACTAATTAAATCCAAGTAAGTAACTGAAACTAACTCACTAAGGAGACATAAAAGTAAAACAGAGATAAATTTGCTTGCAAACTACACTGTCACTATTGTGTCTTTCTCAATATCTATCTTAAATAAATTTATGAGAAAATTATTCTAAAATTCCTAGTCAGGGAAAAGACTTGTAAGGAAAAATCTAATTTTTAAGGGGGTTTAAAGATGTATTTTCCAATATAACCAAATTGGTGATATGTTTCTGTCATTGTTAATCTTTATTTTTAAGTTAGCCTAGCATGTCCCTCTTTGTCTCTTTCTATTTGCCCCCTTCTCAAACATGTCCCCACTTGAACCCAGTCGTCCAGTCTAATATTTTTCAAATGGTTCTGAAGTATAAAATGAGAAGATCTGATGACTGATGGATGTTGGTCAGCATCTGTAAAGATATTATGGATAAAATTAAGGATTATGGGACAATTTAATACCAAAGCTAAGTGCGCAGTCATAATCATTCTGGCTGGCATAATATGGTCCTTAATCTCCGTGATTAGTGAGTTTGGATTTATGCATCTGTTCCATTCTTTCTCAATTTCTGCTAAATGATCTAACAGTTATTGAGATAGCATGGGAATCCAAACAATAAGTCTCATCATCATCTTTGTTCAATGTTATAACAACTTTATGTATCATTTTATCACAATGTTTTCAGTCACAATATGTATTTTTTTATTCACTCATGGGATGTGGGCATTGCTGGCTGGGCCAGCATTTACTCCGTGTCCCTATATTGCAGATGTCTTTTTTAAAATGCAAGTTTAATTCATAGGATATGTTTTGTTTTAAACTAAAGCTATAGATAGTGTTAGACAAGTGGAGATCTTCGCATTTGCCTTGATGTCATGTATTTAGAACAATTGTTGTGTACACCAACTAAAATCTGTTTTTTTTTAAAGGGTCTACTGATGTTGTTGCAGAACTTACCTACAATCCACTGGGGTAATGAAGAAGTTGGCCTTCTCCTAGCAGAAGCGTACAGGCTTAAGTACATGTTTGCAGATGCACCTAATCACTACAGACGATAAGTGGTTAGAAGAAATGTTCAGAGCTGAATTTAAACTCATTTCAGTCTTTAAAGTCAGGTGGCTCTACTGACTGAGACAACAAATGGTCCAACTACTTTGGAAGTAGTTTCTAATTACTTGAAGCTTTTCTTAAGCTATTATTGTAATATACTAAATTGAAAGTAGACTGAGAGCTCCCTCAGTTTGCTCTTCACAGAGCCTTGCTAAATCTTTGATACTAGGTTATACATAATTCTTAGAAAAAGGATTTAAAAGGAATTATATCGTGTTTCTGTATCATAGTTACAATGTATGTGTCCTTAATTTGAACTACTGTGAGCTTATACTTAGGAAGTTGCATAAGTGTTTGGAATTAGTGTGCATAAGAGAGACTGGTTAAATTTTCCTCATTTTTCAACACACCTGACATCCAACTTCTTGTAGTAGATGATACATTCACAATATTTTTAATTGTGCCTCTTTTTTAAAAAAAAATCCTCAAATTTTATTTTGGAGTTGCTGTGTATTATTTGATGTAAACTTTAGCTGTTTTGGTGAGGTATGTTCATTTAAAAGTATTTTAATTTCTACAAAGTATCTTTTTTTTATAAGCAATAAAATGATTCATTTTTTAATGTAGAATTTGAGAAATTTGGAAAAGTCTAACTATCTTTATAACTTTTTTAAAAGATCTGTGTTATGACCACTAATGCTATGTTAAAAGGCCAATTACCATTGCCAATAATATAAATTCCAAACTAAAGCCATTCAAGATTAAAATATGTTTCTCAGGTGCAGGTATTTCTTTTTGGTTTGAGTGCCTTTCGATTAATTCTTTATGTAAAGTTGAGAAAACATTGTGAAACTTACGTTTGAAATTGTTTTAGCAAGGGTTGATGGCATTTCTTCTAGCTCTTAAGATGTCTCTTCTGATTACTCAAAAGATACCTTGGTATGAGTTCTCGTGTTTAAGAAATGATTCATATAATTAAAATATAGGAATATATATATTTTTAAATATGTATAAGACCTGAGAAGCAGATTTTTCCATTGATGGCCAACAGTTAAATGGTTAGGGTTACCCCCCCCCCCCCCCCCAACTCTATTGGTTGAAGTTTTAATATTCCATACATGGTGCGTAGAATTTAGAACTATTAACCTGGCTGGGAAAGCAGCTTACCCTGCATCCAGCAATGACCAATATCATTCCCAGATTACCTGTTCTTTCCTAGCATTCCCAAGTGATAAGGAGAAAATGTGAGAAAAGTAGATCTGAGATGTTGACCAGATGCAATCTAACAGAATAACAGAAAAATTGAGAGGGCCTGAACAGTTTATTCTTATTTCTATATGTTAGGGTATCAAAAAATATATAGAGAAAACAAAATAAAGGAGTTGTGATACACATCAGCCATGACCTTACAGATATGGCAAAATAGACTTGAGAGGCTGAATGGCATGCTGCTTTTCTTTGTTCAGGAACCACGACTACTTACACTCAATTGATGAAAGCTTATCACTTGCAGCTGAAGTAGTATCATTATTCTCAGAGCCAGGCTGGTTACTATCTACTGTGTGCCATTTCCAACTAGTCATGCACTCAATATCCTAAATGCACATTCTGAAGAATCGTGCTTGGAACCTGATCTAGTAATTCCAAGATTGATAGTTTTTTCTTCTGTTAAACTCCTGGTCAACTTCACTGTGTATAATGTGTAATCTTTGATCATTTTCAGTCATGTCAGAAAAAAATGGTAACTATTGTTTGCTTCTACACTGAACTTGCAGCACCTTCTGTCATTGGTTGGTGTGGTTCCTTAAAAGTTGTTATGCAAATACATTGACAGTTTTTTAAAAATTACAAAGAAAATATAAATAAATGATGTAGGTTCAGTGGTCCACAAATAGATTTTTATTATGTTTAAAACTGTCAATAATTTCTTTTATTTTGTTTTTAACTTATTGTCTGAAAAATCAGACTTGTTTTCATTGTATTTTCCTTTTTATATAAAGGGCAAATTATTGAAAACTACACTGCTGTAGTTTTTGGTATGTCTGTGCCACTCTGGAAATGTTGAAGAATGTAAATGGTAGCTTTTACAATGAATTACAATCAAACCTCTGTTTTAACTTCCTGTGCTCCAAAAGGAAGAGTGAATGTGCAAATTATTTTCTGGACAGTTAGGTAGGTGAAAATGCACGGTTTAATGTATCAATATTCCTAACGCTTGGTTCTGCTTCTGTTTATAAAGTGTCTTGCAAATGGTTGCACCCTAATCAAAGTCGAGCACATGGGGATCAAAGCACAATTATTTTCTTTAAGTCTAAAAGCTAGAAAGTATATTTTCCCCTTTGCGTATAATGTAGCTTCCCTTGCTACTTCTAGTTGCTGTTGATCTTGGAGTTGATTTACCACTAAAAGGAGGGCCAAGATTGAAAGGCATCATAGAGCCATACAGCACTGGAATAGATCCTTTGGTCCAGCTAGTTCAAATTCCCAAGCTAAACTAGTCCCACTTGCCTACATTTGGCCCATATCCCTCTAAATGTTTCCCATTCATGTACTTATCCAAATGTCTTAGAAGTGTAACTGTACCTGCATCCACCACTTCTTCCACACGTGAACAACTCTGTGTAAAAAAAAAAAAAAAAAAAAAAAAGTTGCCAGTCATTGTAGTTTGTAAAACTTTCTCCTCTCACCTTAAAAATATGACCCCTAGTTTTGAACGCCCCCACCTTAGGGAAAAGACCTTTGCTATTCACCTTATCCATGCCCCTCATGATTTTATAAACCTCTTTAAGTCATCCTTCAATCTCCCACGCTCCAGTGAAAAAGGTCCCATCCTGTTTTTATAACTCAAACCCTCCTTTCGTGGCAACATCCTGGTAAATCCTTTCTGAACCCTCTCCAATTTAGTAATGTCCTTTCTATAGCAGGGCAAGAGAATTGCACGCAATATTTTGGAAGAGGCCTCACCGATTCCTAATCCTTATACTCTAAGGTTTTGAGCAATGAAGGCCAGCGTGCTAAACGCCCTCTTAAACAACCTGTCTACCTGTGAAGCAAAGTTCAAAGTATTATGTACCTAAACCCCTAGGTCTCTCAGTTCCACAACACTACTCAGGGCCCTACCATTAATTGTGTAAGTCCTGCCATTGCTTGTTTTGCCAAAATGCAGTTCCTTGCATTTATCCAAACTAAACTCCATCTGCCACTCCTCAGCCCATTAACTCAATCCATCAAGATGTCTTCGTAATCTTAGATAATCTTCTTCACTGTCGACTGTACTGCCAATTTTGGTGTAATCTGTAAATTTACTAACCATGTCTCCTATATTCTCATCCAAATTGTTTATATAAATGACAAACATAAGTGCACCCAGTACCAATCCATGTGGAACAAGGTTGGTGACAGGCCTCCTGTCCGAAAAGCAAGTCCACCACCACTCTCTGTCTCCTACAGTCAAGCCAATTATGTATCCAATTGGCAAGCTCACTCTGAATCCCGTGTGATCTAACTTTACCATTTAGTCTGCCATGCAGAACTTTGTCAAAGGCTTTACTAAAATCAGTGTAAACAATGTCTACCCATTTGCCCTCATCGGTCTTTTTGGTTACTTCCTCAAAAAACTCAATCAAGTTTGTGAGACACAATTTCGCTCACACAAAATTATACTGACTATCCCTAAGCAGCCCTTGCTTCTCCAAATGCATGTAAATCCTAACTTTCAGAGTCACCTCCAACAGCTTACCCTCCGCCAATGTCAGACTCACAGGCCTATAGTTCTCAGGCCTCTCCTTACAGCCATTCTTAAACAAAGGCACAACATTAGCCACCCTCCAGTTCTCTGGCATCTCACCTGTGGTTATAGATTATACAAATATTTCAACTAGGGTCCCTGCAATTTCTTCACTTACTTGCCACAACATCCTGGGATACACATGATCAGGTCCCAGAGATATATCCATCTTTATGTTTTCTACGACCTCCAGCACTTCCTCTTCTGTAATGTGAACTGTTTTCAAAACATCAATATTTGTTTCCCTGAGTTCTCTCACCTCTTTCTTTCTCAACAGTAAAAACTGGTGCAAAATGTTCAATTAATATCTCTCCCATCACCTGAGGTTCAACACATAGAAGACGCTGTTGATCTTTAAGGGGCCCTGTTCTCTCCCCAGTTGCTCTTTTGCAGTTAATGTATTTGTAGACGATCTTAAGATTATCCTAAACCTTATCTGCCAACACTATCTCATGTCCCCTCTTTGCCCTCCTCATTTCCCTCTTAAGAATGCCCCTGCACTCTTTATACTCTTCAAGAGACTCATTTGATCCCAGAAGTTGCTGGAAAAGCTCAGGAGGTCTGGCGGCACCTGTGAAGAAAAATCCGAGTTAACATTTCTGAGGAAGGGTCACTGGACCCGAAACTTTAACTCTGATTTTTCTTCACGGATGCTGCCAGACCAGCTGAACTTTTCCAACAACTTTTTGTTTTTGTTCCTGGTGTACAGCATCCATAGTTTTTTGTTTTGGTTTTCTTTTGAGCCCAGTTGTCTATATCTAGTATGATTCTTTCCTATTCTTGACTAGAACCTCAATATCTTTGTTCGTCCATTTTTCCCTACTCTTACCAGCCTTACTCTTTACACTTTCTGAACTCACATTTTTGAAAGCCTCCCACTTGTCAGTCGTCCCTTTACCTGTGAACAGTCTACTCCAGTCAACATTTGAAAGTTCTTGTCTAATTCCATTAAAATTTGCCTTACTCCAATTAAGAACTTTAACTTTTATGGAAAGCTTATCCTTTTCCATAACTATTTTAAAGCTAATAGAATTAAGATCGCTAGTGCTCCCCCACTAACACTTCAGTTGCTTCCCCTGCCCAATTTCCCAAGAGAAGGTCAAGTTTTACTCCTTATCTAGTCGATATATTTACAGATTGATAAAGAAAATGTTCTTTAAAAACATGTGACAAATTCCTCACCATCCAAACCTTTAACACCATGGCAGTCCCAGTCAATATTTGGAAATGTAAAATCTCGTACTGTTACATTGCTATTATTCTTGCATGTATCGAAGATCTCTCTACATATTTGCACCTCAATTTCCCTTTGACTATTGGGGGTCTATAGTACAATCCCATCAATGTTATCATCCCTTTCTTATTTCTGATTTCTACCTATATAGTTTCACTGGACAATCCCTCAGAAATATCCTGTCTAATCACAGTAGTAATGTTTTCCTTCATCAAAAACGCCACTCCCACTCCTACGTTGCCTCCCTTTTTATCCTTCTTATAGCACCTAAAACCCTGAACATTGACATGCAAGTCCTGTCCTTGCCTCAGCCAAGTTTCTGTAATAGTTATGATGTCCCAGCCCGATGTGTCCAAACATGCTCTGAGTTCATCAGCTTTACCTGTAAGACACATTGCATTGAGATAATTGCAATTTAATTTTACAAAGTTACCTTTTTCTCTGACTTGCTCTGGTCTGCCTTTTCTAATTAACTTGCTCTTTTCCATCCTCATCTGTCTTTCTATTTTTACTGCTCCTTAGGAACCCACCCATCCTCCCTCTCTACTAATTTAAAGGGTCCCAAAATCAAACTAGCAAATCTTTCTGCCAGGATATTGGTCCCTTTCCAGTTCAGGTGAAGCCCGTTCCATTGATCAGCTCTTTTCTGCCCCAAAAGAGATCCCAGTGATTCAAAAATCTGAATCCTTGCACATTGCACCATCTCTTCAGCCACTGATTTATCTCTCCTAAGTTTTTATTCCTACTGTCATTAGAACATGGCAGCAGGCGATTACTACCTTTTTGAGGTTGTGCTTTTTCACCTTCTACCTAACCTCTTATTTTCACTCTGAAAAGCTTTATCCCTGTCCTTAACAATGTTGTTCCTACCAATGTGTACAGCAACTGGCTTCTCACTCTCCCCCTTGACAATATGCTTCAACTACTCTAAACTACCCTTTATGGTTGATTTACATAACGTACTGACAAAAGTTGGGAACTGATTGCTTGGCTATGATCTTAACAGAGGAATGGTTTATAACGCAAGGAAGCTTTAAGCACTTTTTTTAAAACTGGCAAATGTGCACACTGGTATAATGATGCAAATGATTTCACTCCCATGTGAATAATAAGACTTATTTGATCAGAATTACTATCATTTACATGATGCTTAACCACATATTGTTGGGTGAAGCTGGAATCCTTATCAGGAAGCAGAAGAAGCTAAGCTATTTCAGCTATTACATACTGGAGAAATACTATTTACATGATGAAAATGTGATCAGAAGCAACGTGCAGTGAACTTGTGTGCCTTTACTGACTGTTCTGAACTGTACAGATGCGGTAGTATTTGGCCACAATTGTGTGCCATCTCACGTTGTAAATATTCAGACAATGTCTTTGGCTCTGGAATGCTTACAGCTATGCCATCTGAAACCAGAGAGATGTTGCATGGATTTCAACAATTTCTTTAGACCTTTAGAATGCAAGTGAACAATATCTGTGACTCTCCACCTTCTCACTGTGTGATGTTTTAACATGATATGTACTGTCAAAGACATGATTTGTTGTCACTTCTTTGTGCAATAAATCCAAAAGATACACACTTTCTGCATTGTGCAGTAGCTGTTATAGACTTGTTTTGCTGGTTACATAATACAAAATATTTCATTAAAGTAGTTTATTAAAGACTGGAACCATGTGAGCTCTCAAATACATTTGTAGAGCAGTCAAGAAGTTAATATATTAGCCCTTTGGATGATACTGTCTCTGAAATATGCCAAATTATTTTCAGACCATGTTTTTACTTTAAATGCTTCTGTAGACAGTGCTAATATGAGGCTTTGAAAAATTAAATTCCTGCTCCACATCAGTCTGTTGTCTTTGATTATTATTTCATCCATGTGGCTTGTTGTGCCCCTGCATTTCTGTAATGTTCATCCAAGGTTTCCATTAGGAATGCAGGATAACTGAAACAAATTTGCTGTTTGTTGTTTTCTTCCTCTAGGAGAATTAATTATTCAATTGAATTTCATCCCACAAGCACATTATCTTCAAGACAGCTCCAAGTTATCACTAGCGAGAACAAGCTTCAAACATATTTCTGGCAGCCCTGACCTGCCCTATGTTCCAAATGTAAATTCCTTCCTTCCCAAAATAGTTGATAGTTGCATGAATGTATATATAAATTGAAGTCTGCTATCCAGATATGCATATGCATAAATATTGTTATGATCCCCAGTGGAGAGTGATGGTTTTTAAAATGAGATTAATTTCAAAGCAACCTATGAAAATGACCTAAGGGTGAGATGTCACATTTTAAGAATTTTACTGTGACAAACTAAAATCAGAAACATGACATTAAAACACCAATACAGCTAACTGAAGAAAAAGTACTTTTGCATTGACTAGCTGCTGCAGTCAGGAGATATATCTTGGCCATTTTGGTTGTGCCCCACACTGCAGATATGTCACATTACAACAGCAATGTTACCCCAGCCTGCTGAAAAATTTATTTCTCTCTGTTGTACTAGGTTGTAACTTCCAGTGATCTTTAAAAATCATTCAACTTAATCTGAGTCCCCAGATATGACTTCAGCAGCAAGGCCCACCTGGGAAACTCCTTGTTCTTTAAGTCTCTTAGTCCTGTTTATTCTCTTCCTTTCAAGCAAACAAATTTTTTTTACAAGATGCTGCTTCTACACAGTATCTAACTGTCTTCTCTCTGCCTGTGTCTTTCTGAAGAAGCTGTACCTTCATTGTAATAAAGATGTTAAAACTGTCTCTTGATTTCAATAATTTCTGTTACAGTTTCACCCCCCTGGCAACCAAACTACATAGGCCTGACTCCAAGCAGTAGTGTTTATTCTATTACCTCACCATTCCTATTTTCAGAACCTTGCATTTTATCTTAAGTAAAAGAGGGTATTTTAAAACATAATTTATCATGTGAAGTCCACCATCCATAACAGTATTCATACTAACAAGTGTGAATACCACAAGTGAGTAAGTACTTCTTAAAAATGTACTATTGCGCCGCACTGGCGTAGTGAAATGGAAATCAAGCCTCATTAGTACCAGGACAACAAGGTGCAGGGCTGGATGAACACAGCAGGCCAAGCAGCATCATAGGAGCAGGAAGGCTGACGTTTCGGGCCTAGACCCTTCATCAGAAAAGGGGGAGGGGAAGGGGGTTTTGAAATAAATAGGGGGAGAGTGGGAGGCGGATAGAAGAGGGATAGAGGAGAGGATAGGTGGAGAGGAAACAAACAGGTCGAAGAGGCGGGGATGGAGCCAGTAAAGGTGAGTGTAGGTAGGGAGTTAGGAAGGGGATAGGTCAGTCCAGGGAGGACGGACAGGTCAAGGGGGCAGGATGAGGTTGGTAGGTAGGAGATGGAGGTGCGGCTTGAAGTGGGAGGAGGGGATAGGTGGGAGGAAGAACAGGTTAGGGAGGCAGGGACGAGCTGGACTGGTTTTGGGATGCGGTAGGGGGAGGGGAGATTTTGAAACTTGTGAAATCCGGTGTGGCTTCCTCTACATCGGGGAAACCAAGCGGAGACTCGGGGACCGCTTTGCAGAACACCTACGTTTGGTTCGCAATAAACAACTGCACCTCCCAGTCGCGAACCATTTCAACTCTCCCTCCCATTCCTCAGACGACATGTCCATCCTGGGCCTCCTGCAGTGCCACAATGATGCCACCTGAAGGTTGCAGGAACAGCAACTCATATTCCGCTTGGGAACCCTGCAGCCCAATGGTATCAATGTGGATTTCACAAGTTTCAAAATCCCCCCTCCCCCACCGCATCCCAAAACCAGTCCAGCTCGTCCCTGCCTCCCTAACCTGTTCTTCCTCCCACCTATCCCCTACTCCCACCTCAAGCCGCGCCTCCATCTCCTACCGACCAACCTCATCCTGCCCCCTTGACCTGTCCGTCCTCCCTGGACTGACCTATCCCCTTCCTAACTCCCTACCTACACTCCCCTTTACTGGCTCCATCCCCGCCTCTTCGACCTGTTTGTTTCCTCTCCACCTATCGTCTCCTCTATCCCTCTTCTATCCGCCTCCCACTCTCTCCCTATTTATTTCAGAACCCCCTTCCCCTCCCCCTTTTCTGATGAAGGGTCTAGGCCCGAAACGTCAGCCTCTCTGCTCCTATGATGCTGCTTGGCCTGCTGCGTTCATCCAGCCCTGCACCTTGTTGTCTCGGATTCTCCAGCATCTGCAGTTCCTACTATCTCTCATTAGTACCAGACTCATCGCAAAAGTTAAAGATATTAAAAAGTCCTCAAAGTTTCCCAATTTATTTGATTTTCAGGCCCAGGTAGATGGAAAGCACAGACAAGGTTTCTGCATTTAATAGAAATGACTTTTTTTTTACAAGTAATTAGACTCTAACTGCGAGTAAGCTGTCAACATGTAGTACCACTTATTAAAACTCTAATCCCCTTATAAACTCCCCCTTTCTCTTTTTCTCAGACAGACATGGTAAAATAGATTATAGGTAAAAGAAAAAACTGGAAAGATAGTTCAGGTATCTTTGTTCCTAAGTTCTGTTGTTGAGGTGGTCCTAATGATGCTCCTGCTGGCCAGCTTCAGTCATCTTTCTCCAAATGCTTCCCCTGATTGGTAAGAGAGACAAGGTTCATTTTCAACTGATAAATCAGAGACTATTTATAAATCACAGCTTGCAACAACTATTGCAGGAAAAAATAAGCTACTTTTCTTCAGGTTTACAGTGAGGTTTGACTGTAGAGAACAGTGACCACTCCTGAGCTATGGAAGAACTTACCGCCTCTTTGACACCCTCTTACTTTAACATGTTCCCAGGTCCAAACTATTCATTTGCTTGAAAACTGATTTCACAGTTGTTGGCAGGCCAAAAAGGTCTCTGTCGTTGATAACTGGCCACTAGTCCATGGACCAATTGACTTCTTCCTGGCAAAATCATTGTCTGTATATCCCTTCATCTCCAAATTGTCTGCAACTCAAACCTCAATTGCTGCTTGTTCAAATGGTTGTTGACGGGATGCCTGGATGTCCAGTTACTTTTCAAAATTTAAGCCAACCTTTCGAACATGAGGTTTAAAGCATCTCTTTCCCATTTCAGACAACTTTTTTGGGGGAAAAAAATATAAAAATACATTTATCCACATTATTTGGTTCCTACTGAAATTGACAAGAGGTTTGCTGTAGTAAAAAGGATTTTTGAGAGCAATTATATGAATTTAACATTAGCATTAACCAGTAGATTATAGATATCATATTCCTGTGTCTAATGTTTCTGCAAGCAGGGTAGTGTGTTATCAGCTGAAATGTGGCAAATAAAATGGAACTCATGATTTGTTTATTCTACACTTGCCCTTTGTAGAGTTGCTTCCAACAGTAGGAATTACACCATCTTTCTGCTCTGTTTTAATGGGAGTTTATGTTAGAATTGAAAGTTTTTTGGTATAAAAATGTGCAGCTATAGATCGTATTCATATTGACACAATTCAAGGGCTAATAAGACTGCAAGACATAGGAGCAGAACTAGGACATTCGGCCCATCAATTCTTTTCCACCCATTCAGTGAGACCACAGTTGGTTTGATAATCCACAACTCCACATTCAATTAAGCTTCACACAGCAAAGAGTGATCACAGCTTGAGTGCGTATGCAGTTCGTGGAATTTGGAGGCAGCATGGGGATTTGGTGCAGGCTGGAAAGAGGTGCTGTTTGCTTTTTTTTTGGCTCGTAGTTTGTAAGGTCTCTTAATGGGATCAATTGAAGCCCATGATCAGGGGTTCAGCATAAAATGGTGACATCACAGGTAAACCGTAAGTTCATTCGTTCATGGTAACTACTAATTTGACTATCTAGTATAGGTTACTTTCATATTAAAGAAAATAGGGGAAATATTTACAGGTTACAAACTAAAAGACCAGTAGGAAACTTTTTTTAAAAAATTGAGAACTAAGTAAACAAAATAGAGACGCAGGGCTACGCGATGTGTTGTACCCGCATAATGCGGGACCTGGTGGACTCCTTTGTGGTTCATAGTGACCAAATCTGTAGCAAATAGAAATTACAAATAAGCAAGGAAAGATCACTGATGGGATTGTACTATAGGTATCCCCAATAGTAAGAGGGAAATTGAGAAACTAATATGTAGGGAGATCTCAGATATATGTAAGCATAATAAGGCTGTAATAATGGGAGATTTTAATTTTCCAAACATTGACTGGGGCTGCCATAGTTTTATAGGTTTGGATGGTGAAGAATTTGTCAAATGTGTTCAAGAAAATGCTCTTTATCAATAAGTGGATGGTCCTACCAGAGAAGGAGCAAAAATAAACCTTCTTTTAGGCAATAAGGCAGAGCAGGTGACTAAAGTAAAAGTGGAGGACCCTTTGAGTCTAGCGATCATAATTCTATCAGTATCAAAATGGTTATGGAAAAGGATAAGCCTTCCTTAATTTTAATTGGAGTTAGGCAAATTTTAATGGTATGAGACAAGAATTTTCAAATATTGATTGGAGTAGACTGTAGAAAAATAGAGAATCTTATTTTAGATATGGACAGTTTGTTCTTTTGAATCTCTTAATCAACATAAAGAATGTAGGGGCATTCTTAAGAGAGAAATGGAGAGCAAAGAGGGGATATGAGATAGCATTGACAGATAAGGTTAAGGATAATGCAAAGATATTCTACAAATACGGTAAGAGCGAGAGGGTAGGGCCTTTTGAAGATCAAGGAGGTCAACTTTGTGTTGAACCCCAAGAGATGGAAGAGATCCTAAATGAATATTTCATGTTAGTTTTTTCTGTAGAGAAAGAAATGGTGTCTAGAGAATACAGAGAAATAAACTTTGATCTTTTAAAAACAATTCA